AGAGCAGCACTGACCCGAATCTGAACTGCCTTGTCCCTAGATTGCACGGTACCTGCGTTCAAAGCTGCGAGGGGAGCACGGCGCGTGTCGTCAGGGCTCAGGCTGAGAGCCAAGCCAGCATCCAGCACGTCATTCACACATGCAGGGACTGAAAATCTACTTGTGGTAACAGCACGTCTGTTTCTGCGAGGTGGTGGCCAACTGCGAGTGCTGCTCACTTCATCACCACCTTCCCTTCCATCCCCAAAGCTCATCCCATTCAATAGCTGTATTCTCCTACAGCCTTTTGGAGCAGGAACCACCCAGGTCCCAGCACCCAGAGCCAGGCTCTCCCTGGGTACCTGCAAGCCACCACAATACAAACACCAAAAGAACAAAAAAACGTGAAGGTGTTTCAACTGCCTCCAAGCTCTGTCCCTGTTATCATATTTCATACAAATATTTGGCTGAAAAATACATTTCCTGGGACACTGCTGCAGCAAGCTGCTACAACTGTCAACGTAAATGATGTTCTGCCAACGGCAATCTCGCAGTGTCATCTCTAATAACACAGTACTAAATCCCAACTCACGGGGGACGTGCTCATCTGTTGGAAGACTTCAGTGGCACGCTCAGCCCAGAGCTCAGCCCTGCTGTACCTACGCCCATCGCCCTGATCCATTCTCCCCACTCCTGCATCTCCGGCAGCACAGGATCACGTGGAGCACGACTGTAGGACCACCACACAAATATCACCGCACAGATGTTTTGTCAGTGTCGGGGGAAGGCTGGTGCACATTCTGATTCTTGCCAGCCTGGTCTGAGGCAAAGGTTTTACCCATATACCAGAGCGACATACCACAGCAATCATGGCTACTCTGCACGCGTGGATCAGGAGTTAATCACTCTCCAGACTGAAGCATCATTTCTAAGAGGGCAACTCCAAAGCTACTACATTATCCCTATTTATAGGGACAGAAATTGAAGTGTTAAGGAACTGATTCTCCTCTGTAGCCCGACAACAGAGCGGAAAGAAGAACCCAAGAGTGCTGGCTCCCAGGACACACTTGGTTAACTCTTCTGCAAGGACCATCCTGTGAACGTGAAGAGATACAAACACTGACATCCTCAGGAAGGAGCTGTGAAATCAGGATCTCAAAATGGATGGTCATGTTTTAATCTCTTGTACTTCTCCCAGCCCTGTCAAAACTATTATATTCTAAAATTGCTAAGATCTTTAACTTTCTTTAGGTCACTTAGGGGACACCACGCTGCCAATACATACTCAAAGGGATTAAAAAACAAGGAGGAAGAAGATTTTTTTCAAGATCCCCAGCACTGTGCAACTAAAAATAATAGGATGAACTACAGGAAAGTGAAATTTGGGTTAGCTACAGAGAACAGAGATCCCAGTATCCATTCAATGGGGAAGATGTAATGGGAGTTAGAGGGAGCCGTGCTCCTTGTGTCATTTAAAAACAGAATGGAAGAAGTCCTTGCAAAAACGTACCATGCTAGCAGAAGCACAGCCTCTGACGGTTATATGTGCCGCATCGGCGATGTAAGCCATGTTGTATCAAATGAGGGGCAAACACATAGCAAGAGGCAGTCCCTATGCCCAAGAAAACACACAAAGAGCAAGCCATGTGCATGACGTGGAAGGGAAAAGCGAAACGACAGGCAAGGTGATCTGCTGAGACCACACAACATGACGTTCCCCAAGCCTGTCTGCTACTCTTCTTTGAGAGCCGCTTCATGAAGCATGGCAGCACTTCCTTGTGTATGTCAAGGACCTGGGAGCATGACTGGGACACACAGGGAATTAACTCTTTATATACAAGCTCAGAGTAGGGCTCCAGGGCCTGCTTCCAGAAAAAGGAGCTACAAGAAACAAGCCACAGCCCTGCCGAGACCTGACCCCAGGCAAAGGCAGCACACACAGATGGAGTGCCTGGGAAAAGCATCCTGCAGCCAGCTCCTAATGCCCTTTTTGGCAGAGCGCACAGCAGGGCTGCAGCATTCATCTGACCAGGTGAGGGGTGAAGGGACGGAGCTACCAGATGTGCTTGGCGCTCTGTCCGCCGGGGAGCAGTGGAGATCCAAGGGGAAAATCCAAGTTATCCTTATTTCCACAGCAGGCTCTGTTTCAGGCCTGCGTGACTGTAGCCCCCCTCTCCGTCTGCTCTCTTCCCTTCCAACTCAAAACCCCGCTTCCCCAGGGAACGTCTGGAAATTTGCACCATGAAGTCTGCACAGCCGAAACATCTGCAGCACTTACAGCACCACCGTGCCGCTCTCTCCCCGTCTGTGTCAGGCCAGCGTGAGTTTAGCCACTGACACACCGCACAGCCTTCCCCACGCGATGGGGAAGTCACACCGTCAAGGGAAATGACACTTTGAGGGTTTTTAGGCCATGCAAATATGACGGAAGGGGGTCATACTAATTGCTGCCTCTACTGGGAAAAGGCCTTTAATAAGGGAGATGGAACAATTCCCAGTCATCGCATCGGGAACAAGGGGGAGAGGGGGGAGGAAAAGGACAACTGGGCAGAAGAGCTATAGGGAAACGGATTCTTTTGCTATGCACAGCCAGTTCAAATCCAGCGCTGTCTGGCAGGGGCAGAGGCATGAACACAAGACATTCCCAGGCCTGAGCGCTGGCAACTCAGTACAAGTGGAAGCATTTGCGTTATAACCAGCACTGCCCCAAAATCCATCACGAGCACACAGACTCAGTCATCATCACACGGCACTGCTCGGTGCCGTCACTGGGACACCAAAGCTGCAGGCACCGTTGGTAAGGAGACACTCGGTCCCCACTGCAGAAACCTTTCCCAGGAGCCTTGGCAGTGCAGCGGAACTGAAAGACTGGACTCCCATCTTACCTCAGCAAATAACTCATTACCCATCAGCAGGGAGGGGAGAAGTAGTTTAGTTGCTCCTGCCTGCAGACACATAGGAGTTTGGTCAGTCCCTAAAATTGCCAAATAAGCAACTCAAGCAACACTAAATAGCTCTATTTCAGGCTATTGTGGTTTTTTTTTCCCCCTGGGAATTTTTGTTTGTTTTGGTTTAACTTGGTTTTATTTTTTACAACTGGCAAAGGATTTCTGCCTGACCAGTTCACTCCAGCTACTATCAGCTGCTTCTGAACAGGGAGGAAAAGACCCCTCAAGCCAGTCCAGGCATCCAAAAATGTGCCTCTGATGGTGAAGTGCTGAAACAAAAAAGGATCAATACCATGCCAGTCACTCATGGAGGAGTTTGCAGCCTGCACAGGTCACTGCAGTTTCCCATCTGTCTCAGAGATACTTCTCCCCAATTATAAAAAACCCCAGAGATTTAACAGGCATGTTTTTCATCGCTATCGGCTCAATCTGGTGAAAAACTCAACCTCGCATATTTGTTTTTGCAGCCAGCGGGTGGTGTGGTGCTGCAGAAGCGAGATTTGGGTGAGAACTCCAGGCAGAAATCTGCTCGGGCCGGCTGGTGCTCCAGAAGGAATGCTTCCCATTTAACCTCTTCCATTGCCTCCATTTGCAAAGCAGATTAAACATTGCAGAGTTACAAGATACAATTATGCAGAACAAGTTATGATGCCAAGGACAGCATATTCACCTTTGTAGCTTGATCAATGTTACTTATCGATAGCGAACCACACCCAACGCAGGAGCCGTCTCCGGAGTGTGGAACTGCCCATAGCAAGTGCTCCCCTCACCTCCGTGCTTCATTAAGCACACAGAGGATCTGGCAGGGGCTGGCAATTAGATACAGAGCATTCAACCGCTCACGAATTCTCTGCAGATTCCACACAGATTACCTCCACGACACAATCCATTGATCAGAGGTGTATTCTCAGGCTCCACAGTTAATTACACTCCCTGCTGATGGATGAACAGCAAAGCCATCTCTGTGAAAATACACTGGTAGCAGAATGCCAAGCAACACAATCCTAAACAAAGACAAAAAGGGCTGGGAAGGATTTCAGAGCTTTCAAGGTTAAAGCTGCCTACAAAATATACCAGGGTCAGCACGAACAGGAGATAGAGGTGGCAGAGGGGCACTGTCCCGAGAGAAGGGCACCGTGTCCCAGCCCTCCTGAGATTGTCCACTTGCAGGACGGGGATTATACAGAACTGGGGAGGCAGCCAGGCGTGCTGGGAAAGATGCTGGAGTCTGGAGACCTCCGCTGCACTTACGCTCTCAGCTACATTCTCATGTCCAGACTTGCCCACTGCACTCTTGGTTTACAGAGAAAAATGCACTAAGAGACTGAGGCCCAGCTTGGGAGGCAAAGGACAGCTCAGATCCAAAGCCTTGCTCCAATGGTCTGTGTCACCAGAAGAAATCCCAGCTGAGGCTGTTCCCAAACACCACAAAAAGATCCCCAGAGCCTACCCAACAGCTCAGCGAAGAGCCAGCAACCCAGACATCACTGTGCCTAACCTCCTCTGGACACTGCTACGCAACCCAGGGTAGACGCACCCCTGCCAACTACTCCAGCCTCCAACTGTTTCTCTTGCTAGCTTGGGCAAGCGTCTTCCCCCTTTGCTTGTCTTGCCATCCAAGGCCACCGGAGACAAGACTACAACAACCTGCACCTCCCCCTCCCCAAGGTGCAACCAGGGTGCCCAAACCCTTCTAAGAGCCCCAGAGCGTAAAGGAGCCTAGGGCTGTTATAATCCACCTGCTGCTACAATCCACCTGCAAAAAAAAAACAAACTTGGTGCAGACAGAAACACCCCCATTATTACTGCTGGCTGCCTGGTCCTGGGGCTGGGCAGAACAGCCAGCTGTGACTCCCAGGTGGCACTACCTCCTAAGCCAGCCTGTTTACCCCATCAGGGTAAAGAGAAATCTTTAATAAAATGCCTTCTCTGCAAGTTTTAAACAAAGCCTGCCATGTGCAGAGCCACACCAGCAGGAGAGATTGTCACTGATAATTCAGCTCAGCTTGCCATCACGCGCAATGGCTAGCTGGCAGACATGTGCCCAGCCCAACACTCCTGCTTGCCCCTTACCTTTCAGGACACTGAGGACTGCATCATTGCTGTAGCGTTTTCGGGCGGCGTTGGTTGCCACGCAGTGGTAAGCCCCAGCATCACTCTCCCGCACATCCACGATTTGGAGGACACCATTTGGAAGGGTTATAAACCTGAGTGACCAAAAGGAAGAGTGTGAGACAGGCTATGCTTTACCTGAGCTCCTCATCAACTCAAAGCCCATTTATCCCTGCTTTTTCTCCTGCAGATGTATCATGTACAGACCCTGGTAACCACAGCAGAGTGGGACCGACAAACCTTTGAGCCACGCCACTGATGGTTCTTAAAAAGCAACAGATACAGACCTATCTGCGGCACTGGAGTTTTCACAACACGGGATCTGCTTTTGGTAGACCAGACCAACAAGGCTTTGCTGATACAAGCCAACTGCGCAGTATAAAACAACTGCATACACACATACGCATTTCTACGTGCAGATTTGTAGACATCTCCAGATGTGCAAGTGCCTTCACACAGGCTACAGCCAGTTTCACCACTTCATTTTCACAAAGGTTTGGTAGACAGAGAAAAAATACGTTGCAAAGAAGTCTGAACATCTTTCTCCTGTTGCACCTCAAATACGTGAAGGGGCCAACTGATACATAGCTACATCTTCACAGCCCAAAGCAGCCAGACACAGCCACGTAAAGCTGCACCATTCCTGGGTTGTGTTGATTGCTTTTGTTCTTCCAAGAGTTTCTGGCTTTCACAAGCTGACAAACTTACAGCCGGGCATTCAGCATCCCCCTATTTGCCCATGGCGTGCTACTGGGCAACACTTCCATGGAGTGAAATGGCTACATGGCTCACAACATGAACACAATCCTTGCCGCATTCTACTGAACAAAGCAGATGATTAGCAATTAGCATAAAAGTAGGAGCTGGCTGTCAGCATCTCCATTTTCTGCCTGGATTCCTAGATGGCAGCCTCTTTATTCCTGAATGCAAGGCGCAAAGCCTACGTGATCCTTTTTAATTATATATGAGATCCATTTTTAATTGCAAGCCTCTATAAACAGAGCTGCCGAGCTTTGACAGGCAGCTCTGGGTTATCAGTCTTCATTATGAAGAGGACACATTCAAAGGCAATTGCTAAGAGGAGGGATAGCAGCTATTCCATGGGAACAGCACAAAGACAAGTTATAACTATGAATGCCAGTACTTCCATCCACAAAGATCCCAGTAAGTACACTTGATAAGTAAAACTGTGGTTGTCCAGGTGCTCAGACAGCTGGAGTGCCACGAGTGAAGGTCATGGAACCAGGAGGACCTTAAGAGATCACCCATCCTGTGTTCAAGCCATGGGCACCAATAGCACACCTGCTCCGACAAACATTTATCCTAAATCTCCAGCAATGGAAATACCTCCCCTGCCCTAAGCAGTCTGTTTCATGGACAAATACCTCTGCTGTGAGTCTAGCGTCTATCCTGGACCTCGGCTGCTGCAATCTGAGCTCATCACTTCTCGTCCTTTTCACAGCTAATGAAGAGACAGAACAGCTAACAGAGCTCCTCCAGTGACCACACTGTCTCTACTGGCACAATCTTACAGCCTAATTCATGGACACAGACTTGCTGAAGCTTCCCACGTACACCAGGGCAACTGCCCTGCATCCCTGAAGCCACGTTCCTGCTACATACAAAGACGCTTTTCTCAGGATCAAGTTCCAGAGGCCTCAGAGGAGGTGGTACCCAGAAAGCCCTCATCAGGATGCCTCATCAGGACTCAGGAGAAAGAAGACAAATATTTGCATCCTCTCAGCTCTGTGGAGGGAAAGCCTCCCACTGCGATAATATTTATTTTTGTCGTGCATCTGCTATTTGAGTCTGTAATTAATATCAACATATTTCAAACACTAGACGAGGCATCTCCCAGCCACAAAAAGACACTCCAATTATGTATCACAGATTCACTGAGGCTGGGAAGGACGTCTGAAAATTGTCTGTTCTTTCCACTCTCAGAGCAGGGTCAGCTCAGGACCATGTCCACAGTCACACTCAAGCAACACACCCGGCTTCTCTTGAGGGCAGAAAACAAGCCACTGTGTTTCTAAAGAGAGCAGGAGCTGGAGGCAAGGGGGAGTGAGCAAGGAGACTCGATCAACACATAGCTGAAGATGGTCCTTTCGGCAAGACCAGCAGTGGAGAAGTCTACTTCATGCAGTATGTCCTATGGCGAGCACTGCTCTCCCAGGGAAGCAAGGAGGGGAGAAAGGCAGGATTTCTCTAGCCAGAGTTTCTCCCAGCTGCTCAAAGCCTCCAGCTCTTCAGGTCCCAGCAGCCCTGGACCAGAAGACTCCAGGCAGCCTGCAAGGGCGTTCTGCTCCATCCCCAGGCTCTCTGCAAGGATGCCAAGTTTGCCTGATGATTCAGAGCAGACAGTTGGCACTAGCTTTTCTACCACACAAAGGGCAAATCTTTTTGTCTGCTCACCTTCACTATGGAATAAGCAGAAAACAAAAATCAAAGGACACAGACCCTGGGAGAAACAGAAACGCTGGTGCCACGGCAATGTCAGGAGTTTTGCCACTGACAGCTACAGTGCCAGGATCTCACAGACAACCACCCTGAATGGAGGCGAAAGGCAGGCCCCCCACTTGCCACAGGTAGCTGGTTAAAGGGCAGCACGCACAGACCAGGGCCCAACTACCGTGGGCACAGAAGGCAGCAAGATGAAGTGCAACAGGACACAGACATGTTGCTGTTCCCCTCTCTGCTCCTCCCCAGGCAGACTCATACAGGAGAGCAGGGGCAGAGAATGGAGCGCAGAGGGACCAACGGCTGCCCACTTCAGTGACCAATGTGAGGGCAGTTCAGCTCAAGAACTGAAATCAAACACCGCTGCCTTGTGTCCAAGCCCTGCAACCCTACAGCTCAGTGCACTGTGCTGTGTGTATAGCAGACAATATTTAAGTATTAACAGCCCAGTTCCCTTTCTTACTTTCTCCCCAGCAAACTGCTGGCACATCCTTCCTCACATCCTTTTGAAGGTACACAAAACAGACTAAAGCACCAGTCCTCGGGACAAGTTAGGAACCTGCAGCTTTGTTGCAGACTCAAATTCTACAAGCCCTTTTGCTCACAGCTCAGGAGCTCTGTACATGCATGAGAGCCATACTAAGGCACTCCTGACACATGACAGAAGTAAACTCTCAACACAGATAAAACCCTCAGCCAAAACATGGAAAAAGATATTGTGATTGCAGACCACATGATGTGTAGGGTACGTGTTTATGTGCAGACCTCCAAAGACCTCCAGCTCTTAGCAAGTGCTCATCTTGGCTCTAGAGAAAATAAACAGTAATTTGGAGCCTGGCGTGAAACCCAGCCAGCACCCAAACCAGAGAAGAGATTACGCCAAGAGATGAGGTACACACCCCAAAGCAACTGCAATCTAGAGAAATCCTGCAAGCCACCTCTCAGCAGCTGTTGCAGATTTAAGACCATGGTTTTTAAAAGTACTTCAGAGCCAGAACTGCAAAATACTTCTGTGACTTACTCACTCACATATGAAAGTTCGATTTTGTCCTGAACTTCAACAGGAATCATCTGAAATCATCAACAAGCACTTCTCTACCCTTTGGGTTGTCTAAGCATTTTTTAAGCTCAGCCATCAGCATGTTAGAGGTGGCACAATGCTAGAACCTGTGCCCAAGGGCAAAGGCTGAAGAGAGACCCCAAAGGCAAGATCAACATAAAAAAGAAAAAAGAAGAAAAAAAAATGAAAAAGGAAAAAAAAAAAGCAGTATTGGCTTGCCATGACTATTCTATCCCTCTTAAAATAAATCATAAACACTGATGTTGCAGCATTATCTCAAGGGTTGTATCCATAGCCCCAGAGCCTGATTTTGTACATAAACCTAACCTTGCTATTCTGGAATATGAAATCATCATCCTGACACCTACCTATCCAAATGATTGCATTTTCACAGGCTCATCAGATGCGTGCGCAGGAGGGAGTCCACAGTAATCAGAGGCTGGCCTGAGATCTGGTCCTTAGGCATGATGGGGTAAGGATAACAGAGCTCTGGTTGGCAGCCAATGTTTCCTGGAATTCACTTAATTCCTTCGAAAGCCGGTTATATTAAATCCAACAACAAAAACTAGACAACAACAAAAAAGCAAATCCTTCTGAAAAAGCACATTAGCTAAAACATGATTTAAAAAGCAAGATCTGCAGCCAGAGATTATGGTCTGGCTTTTACAAGCAAAACAATTTTCAGGCTGCCCGTGTTGAAAACAATCTCCAAGCAAGTAATTTCACAACATCCATCGAGCTGTCTCATTAAAAAGCCATTGCCCTATCTATGGCACACTTCCCTCTGCAATCCTTTCTTTTGTGTTTGTTCTTTCTTTTTAATTAAATAATTTTCTTCTCATTACAAAGCAACAGCCTCCTATAAACCTTTAGATGCCACGCTTCAGACTCAAGGATATAAGCGGTTATTCTTACAGAAATAGTCATTGCTGCAAAATTATTCCTAAACCTTACCCCACCCCTCCTTCCTCCTTTCCTCCTGCCTCTTGGCTTAACTTCCCTGGGAGGGAAACAGCTCCTTCTGCTGAACAGAAAATGAGTTTTTAAGAACTAAAGGACAATGCAGCCACTGATCCCCTGCAGGAGTGACATCTACAGACCAACAGCCAACTAATGGCTTATCCTCTTCTCATGCTTGTAACTGACCTTCATTAAGGAAAAGATACCATGCTGCAGGACTGTTATCTTTTCCCTCCAAAAAAAGAAAATTCAGGGGTTTTTCTAGATGACCTCTAAATATGGGAATAAAACAAATGGAAAGACCTCCCAGGTTACTGAGCACACGCAGTGCTCTAGAAGAATCATTAACCCTGAGACAAATCTGTGCGGGAAAACAGTGAAGAACATGACCGTCTCTAAAACCACAACCAAAATGAAAGACAAAACACATCATGGAGTTCAGCTGGGTATGCCCAGTATCCCCAGTGCTCCACCCTCACAGTCAGCTGGAAAAATATTCCTCACGCCAGGCCCAATCCCCCAAAGACTTCTACCTCACTTCACTTCACACAAGAGGACAAGCCAAAGGCAGCCCACGCCACAGCCCACTGTGCCCTGTTCCATGCACACACAGGCCTTCACAGGGCGCAGGTTCTGTGCTGGAAGAACTGGCACAATTTCAAGGTTCACTATTCACTTTTATGCTGCTGTTTGCCTTTCCGCGTAGTCTTGGTTTCCCTCCAACGCTCTGGATAGGGAGTAAATGGCTGATGTAAACTGTGCTGAAATCATGCGGCTTTGCATACAGCCTTTCCAGACCACTGGAGAACTGAGTTGGACCTGTTTGCATTTGAACACCTCCTCTTACATCACTTCATTATCAGGTCCAAATCTGGTCTATCATCTCTCTCTCTCCATTCTACCTTTTTATGAAGTATCTCCACATCCTAAATGGTCAGGTTTTGGTTTGCTGACCCAAGAAAGCAATCAGGGAATCACCTGGGTTCTGCTGGAACAGCTTCATGGTCCTTCTCCCATGTGATGACAGGGGAGGGCAGTCCTTCGATCCGACACTCAAACCGGGCCATGCCATTTTCTTCCACTGTCTGCGATTCCGGCTGTTGGAAAAAGCGTGATAATGCTGGGGAAAGAAGAAGGGAAGAAAAGTTAATAACTCAGTGTTTCTGCTGAGAAATGCAAACTTGTTTTGTTACATGAGTTAAGAGGAAGGCTTTCTCTCCTAAAGATAGCCTGAAATGCAATTCCTCACTTTCCCACGCTCTACAGACCCTCAGCAGTCCTAACAACACTAACTGAAAGGTTTCAATGTGCAAATTTGCTTCTTGCCTCATTTTCTCCTTTAAGGCAACAGTGTGAGAGAAAAGAGAGGCAATTAGCTGGTTTCAGCAGTTGCCTTCCTAAATTACTTCCTTGTCTGTTCACTTGCTCCGTTTGGGAAGGACACGTAGAACGAGAAAAAGAAGAGGGGAACTGCCACAACCCTGAGAGAGGAGAGTTTCCCCTTGCCTTGTGGCATTCCCACAGCCACAGGAAATTAAAACAAGGCAAGAGGAAGAACAAAGTCAGATGTCAAGTTACTGACACTAAACAACTGCCCACAGGTTGGCAATGCTGGAGACTAGGGCGAGAGACCGTAAGAGTTATGATCCTCCTTCTCCATAGCGAACAGCTTTGCCTGCAGAAACTAACTTCATCCTACCTGAGCAGATAAGATGCAGCCAGGAGGATACAGACCTTGCTAAGAGGAGGAGCACAGATTTTATACATGCCAGGACACCTGTTTGCTCTCCAAGGCTCACCTCCGTCTATCTGCTTCTTTCTGTATTACAGAGGCTGAACTTGCTTCGGAGACAAAGCAATGTTTGTGATTGCTCTCGGACCGCACCCTTCCCATCCTTCATACACAGCTGCCTGATCTTCCTCCCTTTCCAGTACACTGCAAAACCCTGCTGATTTCAGCCGAGCAGAAACTCTCCCCCCTGGGGCTGTCAGCATCTGTCCTATCAATAGCATAACCCGAAGGCATCTCAGTCACACGGTGGAGTTTTGAATATGCATGCAGGCTCCTTGATGGGGGCAGAAAGCTTGTATTCTTCTCCACCAGACCTGGCTCCTGCTTTCAATAAGTCTCTGTTAAACTGCCTTTGCTGTTAAACCCACCCTGCCGTACAAATTTATCCAGCAATATTATAACAAAAGTGCCAAAAATCTTGAACGTGGCACAATAAACATAAATTTCACCCAGAAAACAGGCTTGACTGCTGCGCCAAGTGCAGCAGGACCCCAAGTGACCTTCTGGTCCTCCAACACAATCATGTGCTTGTCCCACCACCACTTCCCAAGAAGCTTGCTTTGGATTTCACAGGACTCCAAAACTGAAGTTTTCTTTGCATCACACACACACACAAAGATACATGCACACACATACGCACTTTACTGTAGTGTTAGCTTGAGAAAGTATGTACAGTTTTGAAAATTAAATGCTTTTACACGACCCATTTTAACCTCAGCATATTCTCAGCTGCCATTAGTGTTTTTTCTTTAATTTAAATAGTTATCACGTGTTTAAAGCAACTCATTGCTCTCTGCAGCAGCTACAGACTGAATTCTCCCACCAGCTGTCCCCCAAGTCTAGTTTTTCAATTCAATACAAATGACAATGAAAAATGTTTTCCTGGAAAAATCTGAAAGAGACATTAATATGTAAGGCCCCAATTCAGTCAACTGCTGTAGTATTTTCAAATATACACTACAGACCACTTTAACACCGAGTAATTTCTACGGATTACAAGATCTTTTAAGCTCATGTTAATAAAACTTGCTGAACCCAAGAGTTTAAAAGAAAATCCATCAAATGCCAGTGCACGTTCAGGATGGCACCATCAAAACAACCTTTAGACCAGTCTCCAGAGGCGGGAGAGCCTAAGTAGCACATGGTGTGCACAAACAGCAACGCCACTGTCACCAACAGCTCCGTAAATCCCAGTGGGCAGCTCCCTGCTCTCTTTGCTCTCCCTCACGGCATGCACGTACATGTTGTACAGTTTGGTAAGAGATGCAGGACGTTTAGTGAGCCAGGCTTACCTCTGCACATTTTGGCATGAAGCACAAAGCAGTACAAAATGCGATGGTGCCTCCCGGACTCCCCGGGGTTACCCAGACACTAACCTGTCCCAAAGCAGAGGGCTGTCGGCTATTCCTCCCCATCACCTGCCAGACCTGTGTCTGCAAACTTGAAATTCCCTGCTGAGAACCGGATCCTGCCCTTCACCTCCACCCAGCCCCATCTGCCTGCTGTGCTGGGCTCCGGAACGGCTCTTCAAAAGCAAAGAGCCAAGAAATGCACCCGTGACAGATTTCTCATTAGGATGTGGAGGAGCGTGACTAAACAGCGACCCTGATTAGGGAGCTCAGTGTCCCTCCCGCTCCAAGTGGCACGCAGGAACAGGCAGGCTTCCCAGGCAGAGTCACAGCTCCCCGGTAGAGCCAGCAAAGGCTGAGAGCTCAGTGGGTGCTGAAGGTCCAACCCTGGCAACACAGAGCAAACCTTGTTGTGTCTCTTAGCAGCTTCTCGTGATAACTCCTGGGGTGGGATTCAGAGGCTGAGCAGCTGTTTTCTTCTTTTACAGGATCAGGATAGGGACAGTGGGAATCACTGAGGACAGGCTGAAAAAAAATCACCTCTGCAAGCTCTGAAAGAAGGAGCCTGCAGCCTGCCCAGTGAAGGAGAGGACAGGGAACATAAACAGGGATCTTCTGGGCACAGAAAGCAACACCAAAGCAAGATAAGAAAGGTGAAAAGGTTTCTTTGACACGGGACCAAACAAGAACCCTGGATCTCAGCACTGGTGAGGTTCAGGCAGAGACAGAATTGCTGGCCAAGCTCATCACTGCTCCACAAGCACCTTCTGCCTCAGCTTGGGGCCAAGACCACAACATGCTGCGATCCCTTGTGTTCCTCCTCTGTCATCCCAAGGGGTACTAAGGCAGAAAGGAGAAGGCAGAACACATCCAACACCTACAGCATGACCCAACCTAGGCTCAGAGCTGTGCTGCAAACAGCTGGCGCTGGGAGGAAAGAAGAGAATCAGCCAGAGCAAGGCAAGCCTGCTGTGGAAGGGAAGGACTGGAAAGCAGGTCCTGCTGCTCTGACGCACTGCACAGACACACACGTGGGTCACAGCGAGCACAAGACAGGCTCCAACACACTGCTCACCCTAGGGCCACTGGGAACCTTAAGAGGGGCTGTTCTCCTCCCAGAAACATGTTCTGATGGAAGGGGTTACTGCAGAAGTGCTGCAAAGTGAGAGGTTTTCACATAGGGAGGCAGGGAGAGAGGATGCTTGAGGGGAAAAGACGAAACAAAGATGACGGATACATACTGGACATTATTTTCAACTTCTCAGCTAGAGTTTAGCTTGCAAAGCCATCCCGAACCACAAAACACCTCCCAGCCCTGTTACACTGATTACCCTGAACACCTTAATAGGCCACTCAGTAAAAATTACCCACTGCAGGCAAGAAGGTGAGGAGCCTCACAGAAAATTGCCCACAGCAACATGCCAAAGCACCAGGCTCTGCGCCTTCAGGAATGGAGCACGCAGCTCCCTCCCTGCTGACACGTTAAACCCAGCTGGAGCCAAGCCGTGTGTGCCAAGGCTTTTAGCCCCAAACCCAGGGGTGACTGCAGGATGGTGAAACACAGCACCCTCCCCCTCTCCCAGCAGCCTGATCCGTGCAGGAGGCCGTGAGCTTGGAAAGACTGCCAGCCAGCAACACTACACCCCAGGCAGAAAATGCAGTCTATGCAAGGAATTCAGCCTTCTGAAACGGGCTTGCTGCTCTCTCCCACAGCGCTTTGCCCCTAGACTCTCCATGTGCTCGTCCCCTTTGGATCTTTTACAATTATTAGGAGGTATTTCTAAGCTGGGGGCAACTTCGGCTCCCACTGAGATCTCATACACTGCCCAGACGCCCTGTCTCCAAACGGCTCACCTCTGAACAGGCTGGAGGGGGAGGAAGGGAAACAGGCACAGAAAGTCATGGGAGCGATTTGCCACGGCCCGACAGCGTGGTAGAGGCAGAGCCAGACCAGCGCTCGGTCTGCAGGACCATCTGGCAGCACAGGACCTGTGCTGCTCAGCTATCCCGTACAGGGCTTGCTCCTGCCTCCTCAAAGATGCTGGTTCCCCACCTACTCGAAACAGCACTGAAAGTCCCATCTGCAGATGGTCCAGAGCCTGTGCATTAGTCTGCTAGAGGTTTCCCTGCCCAGCCTGGCTCTTCCTACAGTCACCAAAATAAATCCTTAAAATAAGATTAAATCCCAGCCTGCCTTTCCTCAAATCCCAGACACATGGCACATCACGGAGAAACGATGCTCTCCTTGTGGAGAGTGGATCAGGAGAGCCCGTATGCATTGATTCCTGCGGTGGCCTGGCCCTCCAGGGGCAGCAATGCACCAAACCTCTCCTCTGATTGCTGCCAGCAGCCACGCGATGCAGGCCCGTTCCTTCCAGGCACAGCAAACATCTTCATCTGACAGTCACAATTACTGTAATTTTCTAGAACCTCCCTCGCACAAAATGTTTAAGCTAAATTAACAGCTTTAACAAATCTTCACAGATGTAGTTATTAACAGGTAGAAACCTACACCTTCCCACAACTAAAATAACGCCGCTGGTATTTCCACATGGGAGCACGCAGGGCTCAGAGAAACCCGCAAACCTAATTCATCAACCTGGGCAGCTGTTCACTTAACACGCACGCTCACACCAAGAGCTATCACAGAGTCGCTCCTCCTTGTTTGCCACGGCCACCACTGCCACGAGGTGTGGATGGCCAACCATGGATGGATCCCCAGCCCGGGAAAGGAACTGCTGGTCAGAAGCACAGGCTGATGGCAGGGTTAATATATCCCACCTCCTGAACAGGTTTTCTTCTACTGGCTGGTACTCATCAGCAGTACCCAGGGCAATCAGCACAAAGAATAACACCATCTATACCTAAACAGCCTTGGATAGGCTACTGTATTCAGCGGCAGGGGTTAAAAAAAAAAAAAAAAAAAAGGCCTTTACAGTCCTCATTTGCACCAGCTGAATGCTAATGGACCAAGTGTTTCTGCCCAACCCACAAAACAAATCGAAGCGAGAGATGTATTTCATTAATCAATTCCCTCGCTGCTCTCCGTTCAGAAATGAATGTTATGTCAGGTGCACACAGCACTTTCCCTGTGCAGATGGTAATAAAAGAAGACATATAGGGACACACAAGGAGAGAATTCACCTGAAATTTCCCATTTCTGGGAGAAATCCAGAACAGGATGGAGATGCGTCAGCTATGTATGCTCCTCTGGAAAAGTCCAGGGGTAGAAAAGGGCAATTTAAGTCAGTCTCCTGTTTTTGAGATGTCTCCACTGTTCTCACTCCTGAGACACCAAGCAATAAACCCAGGTCCATAACAGAGGCACAAACCATTGCCACCAGGCAAGAGGCACGGGGCAAACTTCAACAAGTCACCCCTAAAAGGGAATATATTCTAATTTAGGGTGGCTGGGATTGAGTCAGGAGCATCCAAATAAATCCTCTTGGATTAATGATGCCTTTTTTTACTCCAGGTCCCCCACCTCCTCAGACAGTATCCACATGCAGGATCCCTGACTCCATCTTCACAGCCCTCAGGAGCTCCTTCACTTAATGAAATACTGGAACCAGCTATTTATCTGGCACTACAAATCACTGAAAGGGGGGAACAGGAGGGATGGGTGACCAGCTCTGTGGGTGCTGCACGCTGAACATCTTCTGCGCAGAAAAGGAGGACACGTTGCATAGGTCAAAGATTTCCCCCTGATCTGGCAAAATCTTCACCTGCCATCAGGAGTGCTGGTTTCTACAGCACAGTGCTCACAGTCTGAAACACACGCTTGGCCAGACCTGGGCCCCCCTGCCTGGGGTACCAGAGGTTAAATACATCATGGGGTGCTAGGAGTGGGTGCTAGGATATCCACTCTCCATCTTCACCTACCACAGCTCTGAGCAAGTGCAAAAGCACCTTGGCCCTGATTTCTCTAGATTGGAAATGCATTTCAGGTCTGTGTCTCATGGTGTGCTGTGCAGCTGCATCCATCGACATTTACATAAGTCGCTGCACAAGAGAGAAGTGTTGCTGTATTTGCATTATTTTCTAACCTCACTTGTTTGGTAGGTCAAGGAATCATTTATCTATCTGCACTCACACACTTAAAATAGCTCCAGGAGCCATTTCTGAATACAAAGGAATTTTACTCTTCAATGCTGTGCAAAGATTCAGTGGCTCAGATCTTGGAGTGGTTCAGATCTTGAAGTGTCCTTCTCAGAGACCAAAATAAAAAGCAGCCTGAAGAGCCCTTTCTTTCCTCTCTTCCATTATAAAGAGATATTCACCTCACAAGACAGTCCTGACAATAAGCGGAGCCACAGACTCTTTGTCATGTAGACAGGCGTCTGTCCCAGCCTCCAGCACTGCTCTTCATTGTCTGGAGTTTACCCCAGAGTTTAGAGATCTGCACCAAGCTGAGATGGGGTAAATTTCGCCTGCAGGAACATCTGAGCAAACCCAGTGGCACCTACTGCCTTCACCAGCTACCGAGGGAGCTACAGCTGCTTGGCTCTGCCCTCTTCTCACCTCTCCTTGCTCAGCATGGAACTCCCCAAGTCCCCTCCATGCTCTTTCCCAAACTGCACTGACTGTTCACCCAGGAACCCAGACTGACGGTGACCTGGAGGCAGCTGAGCTGGTGTGCACAGCCAAATCCAGTCTGTGAGCCCTACAGCCTATTCCCAGAGCTGTCATCCTTTCTGCTCAAGGCTATGACCTCCTCCCTGCAGCTTTCCAGCTGAACTTGCTCTCAGCTCCTTACAGAAGAGCTTTTCCAAGTCCTCACAGGACCAGACCACTCTGTCACAGCAGGGCAGGCTGGGAAAGTATTTGTTCAACTCCTGATTTGCACTGGCGCTTCAGGCCCAGCACCACAAACTGAGACTGGAGGAAAACCTTCAGATTAGCGAAAAGGTATCAGAAAAGGTTATCCTGCCCTGCCTGGCCATTCCTGTTCAAACTCCCCCTTCTGCAGTGCTGACACTGCCGACACCACTCAAACGCACTGTTAGAAATTCAAAGACAAGAACAGCCCAGTGACCTGCATCAGAGAGGAGAGGCAGCCGTGGGGCCAGGAGCTCTGTCCTGCCCAGCCGTGGGAGCCTGGCAAGGTTTGCCAGACACAGAAAGAGATGATGGTAGAAGGCTGCCTGGGAGCAGAAGCCCAATGCCGCAGTCTAGTCTGGTCTCTGTGGGAGGGGAGGATCTTGCTATAGGCATTTCAGACCATGCTCACGCACAAAAGTTTCCTTATCCTGAAGCCGTGAGCACAGTGCTCTCTCCTGCTGGATAAGGCAGTTGAAAAGCAGGGTGCTGGACACATCCTTCCATGCTGGGACACGCTCACTGGCACCAAAGCATTGTAAAACTGTTTTGGCTTACCTGCTTTCCTCCCACACCTGAAATCAGCACAGCAACACTGTGCTTTAAGAGAGCACGTTTGGGAACTGACATTCAGTGCTGGGACCCTGGTACCTCCCCTGGCCCCACCAGGCACACGGAGAGCCACAACGCTCCTGCTCACCATAGCCACCAGCCTGGGCTCTCGTTAGATAAGTTGCTTTGCCAAAGATTAAGCTTCTGCTGTTCGGCTGCACTCACTGCACTAAAGGCAGAGCTGAGCTTTCAGAAACAAAAGCCATCAGAAGGGGAGACGTCCAACATCCTGTCCGTGAGGACCTCACAGCGCAGAAGATGAAAGGTCCCAAGACCTCCCTCGGTGCATCAGTTCCTAACTATGTTCACAGTCTTTATAATTTTCACAAGGCCATATTCAGACACCACTAAAGCTGTCAAAGTCACCAGAAGTCACAAATGGGGAGAGCAGTAGGTGCCCCGGAAGCCTGCTATGACTTAAGCTAGCTACTGAGAGCAAGGACAAGGGGGAACTTGGACCACTTGAGTACAGCCTGGCTTGTTTCCAGTGCTTTTTGCCCCTCAAGTGACCACCCATATCCACCTGACTGTCTCTCAATGATTAACTCTTTTTCTCATTGTATCCACACTCTTCAGGGCAGATCTTGATCTGGACAGAGTCGCAAGCCACCCACTGCCACCTCTGGGGTGTGGATGGGATAAAGGGCTCAGCACCACTGAGCTGGGAGCACACAGCACATCAATGCAAGTGGTCCCATCCCAAACGCAGCCAGTACTTCCAGCTGTCTCACACAAGTAACGTGGGTGCATTCCTGTGGGTTCATCCCGTCACACACCATCCAGAAGTGATTCCTGCAGAAGAAAGGCAATGGGTGCTTTCTCCCAACCCCTTCCCCATCACTCAGCCCCTTAGTTTCAGCCGGTGCTCACAGATTTAGAGCGGTGCTCCTTATCTATGTCACTGGGGCAACGAGCCCATCACAGCCTTGGCCAGGAGAGCCAGAGCTGTCATAGCCAGACCCCCACGGCCATCTCCCCAGGCAGAGGATGCTGCACTCAGGGCTGTGAGGTGTGAAGTTCTCTGAAAAAACAAGCACTGGTTTTTGGAGAGGTATGAGGGTCCTGTTTTGAATTCATAGCTCATGGCACTTACCTGGGAGAGTTTCACAGGATGTTAACAGTGGGAAAATAGAAAGACACCACTGCTTATTTGTGGGTTATCCCAAATCCCACCTACACAGCATTAATAGAATTTCACTTCATAGACACTTTATCTCAAACTCTCTGGGAGGCAGATGGTCTGTATAAACACCGGGGGTGGGGCGGGGGGGGGAGAAAATCAACCAAAAAAACCCCAACACTTACTTGAAAATCTGACTGCAGCCGTTTGACTGGTGACAGCCCCTAGGGAACTGTGAGACATGCAGGAGTAATTACCCTCAGCGCCAGCCCTCTCAGGATATTTACTGTCCTTTGCCTGGGATGAGATGAAGAGTGATCCATTTGGAAGCACATGGAGATGCTCCTGCTCCACTAATGGAAACCCATTCTTCTTCCACGTGATATTGATGACCTGCTCAACAGGGGCCAGGTTACAGTCCAAAACCACGATTTGGTTTGGCTCCAGTATCACCTTTGCAGGACCAGCACTACAGCTCAGCTCCAGAGAATCCCCTTCCACCAGCCTCCCTGCAAAGAAAAGACAGTGTTGCAGCGGGGGTTGCTTTGCTTGGTTATTCACATCCCAGTTTTACACAGTGAAGGAAGCACAGTTCTCCATGAGTGTGGTTGGAGATAACAGGTGAAATTCAGCCCTGTTAAGTGACCAGACACTGCATTCTCCATCACACATCCCTAGGGCCGCAAGCACAACCTGCATCATTTCTGCCACCCGCCATGGTGCCCAGCAGCCAACCCTTCTATCCACACTTGTTTTTTCCCTGCTGGATTGAGGCGGAGAAGAACAAATGGAAGAAGGTGAAGTGACAGCAAGAGCAGGCACAGAAGATGCAGCCAAAGCCCCAACCTCTCCTTCACCTGCCACCGGTGCCCATGAGAAGTGAGGGCTCCCCATCACACACCTGCACACCAGAGCCTCCTTTGAGGCTGATCAAGCCCCACAAGACAGCTAAGCACAAAGATATTCAAGCCCAACTTGGTACCCCAATACCAATGCCGGTTGGAGCAGTGCGCTCTGCATAGCGGCAACAAGGCCAAGCCGAGGTCCCAAGATCTAGAGAGCAAAGCAGCAAACTCCTCCAGAGGAGGTGCAGGATGGGTTACAACGGGGGAACTGGCAGTAAGAGCTGGAGCCCAGCTGGGAACCCAGACAGGCAGCGCCTGCTGGTGAGGTTCATGTACTGGGAAACTCATTTCAAAGGAAAGATAACAAGAGAACAGCCAAAATGTGACTTCCTGTCTCTGAGCGTTTTATCCCATATAACTGAATCCAGAATGAGAATGGATGGATGCATTTTCCCCACTAGAAAAGGATATTCCAGCTGCAAATGGACAGTCACACGATGTCTTACCCAGAACATGCCCTTAGACAACCTGCCTGCCGCAGGCAGAGGCCAGAGCAGTGACCAGCAGCGAGCTAAGCTGAACAGGTCTTGGTCTGGCCAATTTCCAAACCCACATACTCATAGGAGAGCTCCACCTCTGCAACAAGGTTCAGCATTTCCTAAAAGAATATTGCCATTAATAAAATGCATTTGCCGTTAGAGTTCTCCAGAGACACTAAGTCAATGTTAGCTGGCAGCGCTGCTTCCACACACCAGCAATTTCAATCTCTGCTGTGCTCCAACCATCACCATCCACTCTTTTTATGGCTCCACTCCAAATTATTTTGTCACTGCTCCAATCAGAAATGTTTCCTGCCTCTATAACAAGTTTATCAACACTGGATATGAACCACATGGCTCCCTGCCCGTCTCCTATCGCAGAAGGCTACAGATTAATTTTATAGGAATTCAAACACCCTATTAAACCTGCTACTACCTACTGCTGATAAAAGGGCTGCATTTTAAGAGAGTGTGTGTTAAGCATGCAATTAGGGGCAATGACACGCAAAATTACACATGTGGGGAGATGGAAATTATTTCAAGGCATGTGCCGGAAACTGCAGGTGCCCCTGAAAGAAAGGGCCTAACCCTGCCCACGCGCGGGGCTGATTCGGTGCCCGCCCAAGCCCGTGGGGACAGGAACCCATCAGGTTTGCCCTCGTTGCCAGTTTGCAGAATGACAACCAAGAACTTGGCCAGCTATGTTCCTTCAGTGACGAGGAGGCTACACAAGAATCCTGCCTGTCCTCTGCCTGTCAATTGCCATCGTTACGGGACAGAACAGACCCTACTCCAAGCACCCCCATCTTCACTAGGACGTCCAGGGGCCACTCTTCCAGGCCCCAAACCCCAGCAGGATGCAGAGATGCCCATTTCACACCATGCTACGCAGACTGTGCAACAGCCGGGCACTCCACGACAAAGGGACAGCTATGGCTGACACAAAGCTGCCTGCAAGTCCCTGGATTTAGGGTTTTCCTGCACGGATGCTTCTGCTGTGCCACTAACTCATACTCTGCAGGAAGAAGGCACAGCAAGAAGCAGCAGAAGCCATTGAGCTCCCAACAGGAATACACTGCGATGTAATTTTTGGATTTGTCAGCCAGCACAGTGCTAGCAGGTTCCTCTGCCCAGCTTCCTCAGGCCAGGGAGCAAGCTGAGGAACGCCACTACGCAAGGATTGTCACCAAATGCCCTCCTGTAAGGGCAATTGTGCCCATTAACATCTCCTAGGGAAGATTAGTCCTTTGAGGATCATGGCAAGTTACAAAACTCACTCACTGGCTCCACAGAAGGCTAGAAGTAGGGGAACACGAGGCTGAAAGGCTGCCCCAAATGCTCTGGAAAAGACTCTGCCACTGGAAGCCTTCCATTCAACACAGCTGGCACAAAAAAATAGTATGAAATAGGGAGAAATTGAGCATATAACAAGTTACCAGCAAACATGTGCAGAAGGTGACATGTCCAAACACAGGAGAGGGTTAATAGTTGGAGGGTGGGGAAAACTCAGCTGAGCTAAGGACAGGAGCCACAACGCTGTCCTGTCCCCCATCCATGGAGGAGCAGCAACTCCCCAAACACTTCTCTGAAGGGATCTCCCTGTAGCAGCTGCTCCTGGCAGCATGTCACACGGGGCTTAGCCAGCCTGTATACACCACCTCCAGGGAGGTAGGGCTGCTAAGGCAAACGCTGAGGCATGAGGCAGAGTTTATTTCAAAAGATGTTGAAACTTTGTTGGCTAAAGTCTTAATCCTTTAGCTTTCCTTAAATTTGTTGTCTTTGGAAGCACAAGTAGAGACTGAGGCGACAAGGAATTAACTCAGGTCACAGGTCAGTCCCCTTAGCCAATGGCTCCAGCTTACTCTTTGCGCCCTTGCTCTCAACCCCTCCTTTACACGTCAGTGCCAGTAACAACACAACAACCCATCTGGGACAGCTCTTGTGCAGCACCAGCATTATGGGCACCAACGCTGCCTGTGCCTACTCTCACCCTCCCGTAATGCAGCAGGGCTGGGTGGGCACGGCCACGTGGAATCAGCTGGCTCTGCACACTGGATGTCTTCTGTGCCCTCTGCCACCGCACACACGGGCTGTCCTCTTGCCTCTATATTCTCCATGGGCTCCTGCTCTGTGCCAGGCACTCCTCTTCATTACTTGGGGGAAAGAGCCTGTGTATCTGTCCTATTTTCTGTTTTCTTCAGACAGCAATTAAAAAGGTATTTTGCTGAAAATATTCCTTCTCGTTGGAAGGTGAAGCACAAGGGGACAGCTGGCTGGCTCAGGCAGCCAGGAATAGAGCAGAGATCTGCAGTGCAGCTTCCCACGCCAGCACAGGTCGGCAAGAAGCAATTATCAGCCTCTCAACTTCAGTCCCTTAAAATCAACTCAATCTGCTTGCAGCGGAGTACGAACAGACAGCTCCATACTTTGCACCACAGCAGAAGAAGTACTTGCTTTTTAAAAACATGTGATGTTTCTATACCCCTAAATATCACCCAGCTCTTTTCCACATAGTCAAACCCTACCTGGTTCCAAGCTTCTGGCTGGTATGTTAGAGGAAAAAGGGCCAGTTACAAAACTCAGTGCAGACTGCAGAGCTCACCCATGCCAAGCCTGACAGCCTGGTTCAGGTCTCTCCCTGCCATACAAAGAGAGGAGAAATGACCCTTGGAGGGAAACGCATTTGAAATCGGACTTGACAGGCGACCGTTCTGCCACAGCCTGGGAGCACGCTCACCAAGGAACATGCACCAGGAGCAAAGGATCCTTCACCAAGCAACCAGAGCGGTCTGTTTCTATTGTTAGCATTTGGTGCACTTGCTGAGCAGGTCACGACAATACCAACTCACTGGCTATTGACAGGAGGAGGTTGCTTTCTTTCATGCTTTCACACTGATAAACACATGATTGCACAACATCTTTAAAGAGCAATAGTAACTCCTTTCCTGGAAACCTGTTCCTACCACATAATCCACCCAGTAACAGCAGAAACCATTTACAAGCAACCAACCTCCAGGGTATCAATATGTTTCTACTCGCAAGTGTGTATGGCATTGCCAAGCAATGCAGGCTCCACACGAGATGGTGAGAGCTTGTGATGATACTTAAACCACTGCCCTTTATTCCAGGAGCACCAAAAATGTTTCTAGACCAAGAAGCCAAGTAAAAATCCAGATGTACTCACAACCCTCAGGGCTCTAACTGAACATCTGGCAGAAGACCATGGCAAGGCCAAACACGCATGACAACCCATCACTGTCACTTAATGCAGCCCGGGGAGGCTTCCAGCTGGGCAAATGAACCCCTCGACTGACACCAGGCTGCTCTGGTAGGTAAGCACAGACCTGCCCCAAATCATCCAGCCCTCTTTCCTGCCCCTTTGGCCCCAAAATACTGCAAGTTTTTGGGGACAGGCCCTTTGCACGTACAGAGGTTGGAGCAGCAGGGCCCAGGACCCAGACTTGGCATTGCAAAAAGCCCCACTATGACTCTTGTCCTAAAATGTTCAAAGAATTGTATAAACACTCCTCGATTAAGGAAAAAATACCTTCTGGGCTCTGGAAACGTAGGAGGAGGTCTAGTTCAAAACACTGCACTAAATTAGCAAGCCTGACAATGAGATAAAAGCCCCTTCAAGGGAAAGGATCAGAAGAGAGTAAAATTACTCCAAGTGAGATCAAAGACAAATGAAATCAGGAATGTTAAGTGCTTACAGAAGCTACTGACTATTTCCAACCTCCATTCTTCATCGTATAGTGACAGAAATGGATACGACCCTGTTTAAACACACAGTCACACGCTCACGCAGCCTCCTGCTCCCTCTTACCTGCTGGAGGTAATGCTGCAATGAATGTAGTGAAGAATACCCAGAACAGCCACTCGCCTCACGCAGCAAATACAGCCACTCCAATGAACATCAATAACAACACGGAGGTGGGCTTCCGAGTCAGAAGCCAGAAGGTCTTTCCATGCATCAGTTCAAGGCAGGTGTTTCAGCTACAGATCTGTGCTTTGGAGCTGGAGAGCTTTTCGCCTTTGGCTCCTCCTGGATGCGGCTTCAAACATTAAAGCCTGGCAGAACTGCAAGTTTTCAGCTCATGGATCTCTAAATTGAGGCCAAGGATC